TTTTCCCCCCCCCCGAGTTTTTACAATGAACTAGAAAAATACACACGTGCTTTCATACCCTCAACCCACCCTAACCTCGCACGGTATATCTCGCACTCGCATCCATTACGTGTTCGCGCACTCTTTCGGAATGGTTTAACAAAAAGGAGAGGAAAAAAAGGGGGGAGACGAGAAAAAAAGACGAATGCATTGCGATAACGGGGAATAAAAAGTGCAACCGCAGCACTCGGGTTGTTTTATTGTGCTCGGCGTTATTCGATTGACTGATTTTTTTCGGTACTACATGTTTTTCTTTTCAAGAATATTTATAAACAGATAATGTTATCTCTGCAAGGCTATTGGGTGGGATTTTATTGTCAGTTTGTCCGTGAAAAGTGACAATGAAATCGAATGATGAATAACAATTTTAGTTTTTTTGTCGGGGCATGGCAGGAGCGGGGGACGGTGTGTGAACGATGAGTCAGGATGTTTCGTAAATGTGAATGGGTGATATCTGAATGAAGAAATGAATATTCAGTGTAATATGACGCTGAATTTTCAATTGTTTTGACGTTCTAGTATATATTACCAGAATTTTCTTGGATTCTGGCAATTTTCGGGGAATAATTGGACTGAAATTTAGTTTTCATTGATTTTTCCATAAAATTGTGAATTTTCAATGACGAAATTCCTTTGGATTTCAGTGGAAGTTTAATATCTTTTGATGGAAATTTTTTAGAAATTTCAACCCAAGATTTTTTATACTGCACTGCAATTTTCAATAAGAAGATGAATATTCAATTCTAAATGACACTAAATTTTGAATTAATTTGAAATTGAAGAATTCGTTTACCTCAATTTTCGTGATTTCTAACAATTTTCATGGAATAATTGGACTGAAATTTAGTTTTCGTGGATTTTTCCAGAAAATTGTGACTTTTTAATGACGAAGTTCCTTGAAATTTCAGTGGAAATATAATATCTTGTGGGGGAAATTTTCTAGGAAAAAAAAAGAATATTCAATACTGCATGACGCTGAATTTTCAATTAAATTGAAATTTAAGAATTCCTTTACCTTAATTTTCGTAATTTCTATAAGTTTTCATAGAATAATTAAACATAAATTTTCAGCTTCTAGTGATTTTTCCATAAAATTAGTTAACTTCAACGAAGTTATCATGTGATAAAAATTTCGAACAAATATACCGTAAATTTTCACCAAACATTTCTAAAAGTGAATATATTTTCCTGAATTTTCGTGATTTCCATCAATTTTCACGAACTAATCAACCTGAAATTGACAGCCTTCATCAATTTTTCCACCCCATCATCAATTTTTATCGAAATTATACCCGATAAAAATTTAAGTCAAAAAGTTTTACCACCGCGGACAATGTTATCTTTAAAAACGCCATTGGCGAGGATTTTATTGTCATCGAAACCGCGAGTTATTTTCCGTTTTCATTTCATCGCTCCGGAAATTGAAGGATCGCTTGGGTTAATCATCAATTTATTAGATTGAATAAGCCCATTGTACCGTGAACGAAGACGAAAAAATAAATCGATAGAGGTTTTCTCCTCCCTTATCCCTATACACTTGCGTCCCCTTTTTTTAAAGACGGAACGCCAGCCGTTGAGATAATCCCGGGCCGCTATACCTCCAATTGGATTCGTAATCCATCGATTCCGGGGGCTCGGTTACGTGGGTGCGGGTTTGTTTTAACTGTGTGGAGAGATGCCGATATCACTCTCGGAGGAAAAACCTCAATGAAGGCACGAAAATCGGGGGAAAAAGGAGTATACGGGGGTTGCAGATGGCTCATTCCTGAAACTTTCAGGGGGCAAACAAAAGCCCGCGATCGTTTTGCCTCTCTCTCTCCCTTTTTTTTCACTCGGAGACTTTTCTTCCCAGTTCTCCCCACACCATTCCGTTAAAATCTGAGCTCCGTGAGAGGAGCTGTGATCTTTTTCCATTCTCCCTGCGGTTTTCTAAAATCATTTGGTCCTCATTCATGGGGACTGGGGGTTGGGCGAATTCCGGGGAATGAATCAAATGAATTGATTTGTTCCATTTCAAGGGGACTTGATTAAACGCTACCTTATCCGAGTGATTGAATTCGGGGATAAAGATACCTTGAGTCGGAGAAAAAAAATGATGGGAAGGTTTAAAGTGAAGAGTAATTGTATGGGGAGAAAATTGTTCAATTTCTTGTCGTTGAAAAAATTTAATGGAAAAAGGTTTTGTTTGGTGAAGCCAGTTTTTGGATTTCATTGAAAATTGATTAATCGTTTGATTTTATTTTCTTGGATTTGGATTTCTGCTTTTATAGATGATTTTTTTATGCAAAGGAGGATATTTTTGAGGATTATGGGAATTAGTTAAGGGAAAATCCGTTTTCTATTGTGAATTAGGGAATTGTGGGTTTAATGGAGAAATATGGGATTCTATCTCGTTCTATTTAGTTTATTTGATGATCAAATGAATTGTCTTTCCATTTCAAGGAGTATTGATTAAACGGTACCTTGTCCGAGCGATTGAATTCGGAGTCGGAGAAAAAAAATGATGGGAAGGTTTAAAGTGAAGAGTAATTGTATGGGGAGGAAATTGTTCAATTTCTTGTCGTTGAAAAAATTTAATGGAAAAAGGTTTTGTGTGGTGAAGTCAGTTTTTGGATTTCATTGAAAACTGATTAATCGTTTGGATTTATTTTCTTGGATTAGGATGTCTGACTGATCTGTATTTGCATGATTTTTTTTATTCCCATCAATTTCTATTGAACAATTGCACTGAAATTTACTATTTTTAAGTCAAAAATTTTCATTTCAGTATTTTTATTCAACTGAAATAATTTAATTAGATTTCTATGAAGCTTACAATGAATATGTTTCTTAAAAATACATGAATTATTAATTCTTCTTTGCTCAGCTGCAATGACATAATATTCGAAAACAACAGATTATAAAAAAAAATAAAAGTGCAAATCGATGTCTTCCAACAAAATTGTTCCCTCAACTCCTCTAAAAACTCGCGACATGAAACCCTCTCTTTTTCCTTATTCTTAAAATTAATAGAGTTTCTTTCAAATTAATTTAAAATTCAACCACATGTTCACCTAAATTCTCCAACGTTACGCTTCATTAAATAATAAAATGTATCGAATATTTGAAGCTCAAAAAATAATTATCAACAAAATCAAAGCAAAATGAAACTAACCCCCCCCCCTCCCCCGAAAAATTACTTCTCCCAGCAAATTTGATTCCCCCAAAAGGAATTGTAGAAAAACCAATTTAGACCGCATAAAAATTTTTATTTCCGGTTTGTTGGAGAAGCGAGTAACCAGGAAAATGGTTATGTTGTACCACCGACGAGATGTGTGCACCGCTGTATATACACCCATTGCATACATATTTATGTTGCAAAGGGGGTGGGCGAGGGGGTGGGTTAGAGTGACTGTGAGGTACGTTGATGGGACGCACCCGGTAGGCGAAAGGTGTGAGAGGGAAAATAGGGGAGGTGAAAGGGGGTGGACAGATATAGTACGAAGCCAATTAAAGTGCAAATGTATGGAGATACGGTTGGAATGCCAAGCAGCACAGTGACCGGGAAACCGGCATAAAACCAAAAACACCTCGTCAATCGACACGCCTATCGAATGTGAATGCGCATACATAAATTCATCGATGGTGTATACTGCCGGGAAAACACCTAGTGTTGGTCTATAACTGCATAGACGATGGTATATAAATTGAAGGGAGCGATGTGGCTGGGGTGATTGAGACGGGAATCAAAAATTTTGTCTGCGTGAGCCGATTGACAAATTTCGGCGCTCAATGCGGGTTGTATATTGTAGTTGGAAATTATTGGGGTTAAAGCACGAGTTCGTGATTATTTAATATCATTTTTATTCGCTCATTATCACAGGCGGGTGATTTCCGGCAACGCGAAGAGCGTTTCGATGGACTGGACGAGGGAGGGGGAGGGGAAGGGGGAAAGAAGGGGTGAGGAGTATTATTGGAATTCTGTTTTGTGGATGTGGGGGAGGGGAGATGTTTTAAATATTGAGGGGATATTTGGTTGGATAATGTTGGGATGAATGACGGCTTCTAATTGTTCGGTTTCAGGGGGAGTGTTCGCTCGCATTTTATTGAGAATTGATTAATCATTCGGATTTAATTTCTTGGATTTGAATGTCTGATTGTAGAGAAGATTTTTTGGTTCGGAAAGGGGGATGCTTTTGGGGGTTATGATTTGTTTTAGAAATTATTCATGGAAAATCGGTTTTCTATGGTGAAAATTGAAAAATTGTGGGGTTTTAATTTGATGGAGAAATATGGGATTCTATTTCGTATTATTTAGTTTATGAATTTGATGGTTGGATACTGAGGAACAGTTTTACTGAAATATTGAGGGATTTCGTGAACATTCATGATTTGATAATAAAGATAAGAAAAAATCAGGTGAATATATTCTTGAAATTCAAATTGATTAACGATTCAGCATAAAAATGACTGCTGAAATTTCAATTTTTGACATTTACAATCTATATTCTAACAAACAGATGACGAATTAAATAACGAGGCGGATTCGGAAAGGACACTTTAAGGGAAATACTGTAACGGAATCAAATTGAATTCAGCATAATTGGGTACTGAACATTCATGTTTTTATTGCAAATTCAGCTAAATTTCGTCTTT